GAAATATTGTTCAAATGATTCTTACAGTAGTAGATTGTACATGTTGCATGTTGATTCCACACTATGGACGGATTGTACATTCTGGATGGTTTACCATCCAGTTCGCCAACCCAACTGGGATGTAGTCCAAAACATACATGGGAAACAACAAGGGACACATTCTGACTAGGATATATACCGTATATACCCTTGTTATCAACCATTCGAGCTTATTCTAGCGTGTTACACTCGCAAGGATTGATATCCATTCTGGATGATGCCCGCGATATCCTGTGGCTTCTCCTCCCCGAAAACGATGGTGTTTTTGAAACCCAAACTATCCCAAAATACTGTTCTTCGATACTGATTTTTTTACAACCCTAATAGTCTGTTGAAATGTCAAACAATTGTGAAGGTCCGCTGAAGTACTTTCGATTTCTTTTCAAACACCCCAATGATCCGCATTCGATGTCCTCGATGTCAAAACTCTGCGCTTCACTCATCGACGGATTTCGGACCGAAGTAGTCCATGGAAGTACTCCATGGAAGTAGTCCCTGCTCTGCGCTGGAGATTCCTGAAGACTACGTCGTTCATCATGACTGTCTGGCTCTTTAACATTTGCGTTAAAGCCCTGTCGTCAGTCGAAGGCTCCTTGAGGCTCCCGAAGGTGTCTGCACGGCGATGAGGTGCACCAAAGCTGCCCAGCAAATCTGCATCCCCAGAAAGCCATCGAGCACTCCAAAAACAAGCGCTGGCTCGAAGGAGGTGGATGATCACACAATTTATCCCCAAAGAAGTATGATCAATCGGACTTCATCAAAACGACTTCGAGTTGAGTTCAGAGAAATGTGGTAAACCCCTTGGCCCAAGAAGCCTCCAATGGACATCACAATCCGATGGATATTTCATGATATTTCTATACACTATACAACCCATTGATGGAAATTTCTGAAGTGTGGCTTCCATTTTTCACCACACCTTCTGTGGATCAACCATCGCGGTTCCGTTGGCCTCCGCATCATGGCGTAGCCGCCGGGGCGCAATTCAAAGTCCTGGACCGGAAAGGTCCCAAAACAAAGTAGCTACAAATATTGAGATCATATTTAAAAAAAGTAGTTGCTTTGAAGATATATCAATATGATTCAATATGTACTGAGAGTATCTGAGAGTAATATCAAGAGTCCCGGAGTAATACTACACAAATATCTACAGTAGTTTGACTATTGCAGTGACAGTATTGCAGTTTCACGGAAAAATCCCAGTGGTTCATTCAATTTATGATGGCTGATTTTCAGCCAGGGATTCCCATTTCATGAATTGGCTGATCATCCCCACCATCAACCAGCAGGGCTTAGCAGCCACTGCTCGGCGTTGTTTCGCCAATGGCTGAATGGCACTGGAAGGTTTCGCCTGCGCTAACGGCGCCTGCCCTTGGATCAATATGCGACGAGTTATGCGACTTGATATCGGTGGTTTCAACATGTTTCAACTCCCAAAAGATGCCAATATGGGAGCACCATCCCACGGTTGAGTTTAAAATATCTAAAACCACCAGGCCAATTTGGGTTTCACCAAGTCTGGTTTTAACCACCAGTTGATGTGACATGTTGATTAACTCATAAACCGATAATCTGAGATATGGAACTAGGTCCAGCACTGTAAGGATTCCAAACTGATTTCATGATCATAGCCCCCATAAACTAATGGATGTGTTCCCTAGCCTCCGCATGATTCGCCAACGTTGGGTTCTCAGCATATTCCAGGATATCTCCAGTTAGTGGACTTTGGGTTATCACAGCCCCCAAAGAGTTCGAATGGATAATTCGATGGAAAATGTCCATCTGATTGGCTCACTCTTGTCACCGGTGACCAGTTTTAACAGGGCTTGGTAAATGTCCTAATTTTTCACATCACCCAAATATTGGGGATATAATCTCCAACAGATACTTTTTCAAGTGATGTTCAAAATCCCCAAAATGGGACATTTACCAAACCCTGTTTCAACGGCGAAAAAAATCACGGCGAAACATCATGCTGATCTCCCACTGGATCCAGCCACCAAACTGGATGGAAACGAATAGCGAGCTATTTGTGTTCGTCACCAGCCAATATTGGAAATGAATTCGTGCATGATGCATGCCCTTTTTCAATACAATATCCAAAAATAATATATATATATATATATGCATATTATGCAATTATATATAATTATATCTAGTTATATATAATTATATATGTGTACAGATCCTTAAATATATCTTTGGCTTTGACATGAAGGTTTGAGACTAGCCATGCTATATAGTGTTATTGACCGGTTTAGATACGTTTTTCTTGCCCACAGAATGGCTGAGATAAGTCCTTCTTCAACCAGTCTTTGCTCAGGCGGCCCCTCTGCAATGGAAACCTCGCGACTCGCAAATGGTCGCAGGGTTTGGGGATGTTTGGGGAACATTTGCAGGCCAAAAGCACCGCATTTCATGGTCATTTCAGTGTATGGTTAAGCCTCATATTTCATGGGGGAAAAAAAACATGAGTTTCCCTACAAATCCATAGGGGTGTGTCTGAAAATAGTGTACCCCTAAACCCAATGGTTAATGATCATTATCCCTATTAAATAGCTATTTCATTGGGAATATACCCTATTTTCCCTACAAATCCATAGAGGAAAATCAATCCCGAGAAATATTGATCTTCGGATCATCCCAGTACCATGTAGCGTCGTCATCTTGGGAAACGGCTACCATGGCCCCAGGCTGGGGGTAGAAAGCTGCGGAAGATCAACGCATTTTTCGGGGTGAACACAGCCCACAGGACCATGTGGCAGGGTACTAACCCAGATGTCAGGCATACCCTCTGGTAATTTAACATAGCTATTGAAAATTGCCATTTATAATGGATTTTCCCATTAAAAATAGTGATTTTCCATAGCTATGTTAGTTTACCAGAGGGTAAATCTGTTCAGTGTTGGGATGTGTTTGTCGCCCCAGGCTTCTCACGTGAGGCCCGATGCGGAGCACCAAATTTTCAGCGCAAAGAATTCTTGGAATTGCGATGCTGATTTGGTGGATTCCGACGTGGAAAGTTGATAGGCATTTACTGATATGTACACATATTATATACTGGTTGGTGGTTTCAACCCCTCCGAAAAATATGAGTCAGTGGGAAGGATTATCCCATATATTATGGAAAATAAAAGCCATGTTTGAAACCACCAACCAGAATATCACTCATTAATACCATGATATCGTGAAAATACCATCAATATATCATAATATATCAATATATCAATACCATTCTTTACCATGTAGGTAACATTAATCATCCATTACCATTCATTAACCATTCATTACTCATTTAGCTGACGAAGTGCAATCTCTCGCAGTCCTGATGGCTGAGGTTTTGGGGGCCCTCGGGGGTGTCTTCAAATTTGAAAGCCACAAATGCCTTGTTTTGAATCGCTGCCACATTTGAAACCCTATCCCATTATAATATATATATATATATCCCATTTTATATAATATATATATAATCCCATTATATATATATAATCCCATGATCTATTCCCATTCTATTCCCATGACATTCCCAGTGACACGCTTGTGTTTTGGCCAAATGCTTCCAGGAGACACGGTTGATCCACTGCCCAATCCACCTGCCAGGCTGGTCATCTGCTGGTCATATGGAGGTTCCTGAAATAGGGGGTACCCCTAGTTATCATCCATCTTACTAGGATTTTCCATGAAATCAACCATCCAGCTAATTATTGGGGTACCTCCCTGACTATGGAAACCCCCATATCTTCAAAGCTTTGGGTCTTTCCGGACTCCATGGCCATAGGTATTTCCGAAAGATTGTTGTTTGGATGTCCCAAAGAAACTGTGGATCCAGTGGTGGCTTCAACCAACTATACCATGGTGGTGCTTCATAAGGTAAATACCAGAACCAACAAGGAGAAACATCGGCAAAAACTTTGGTGGATCATTGGTGGATCATTGGTGGCTTTCAAGATGTTTCAAGCCATCCCACAAATATCATCAAACTTTGATCAAACATCTTTGTCACTTGGGATATCTTGGGATTATCCAAGTAGGTGCCCAGTGGCCACAAATGCATCACAGCCTGGGCTCGGGCTCGCTTCCGGGGTCGATCTGTAGCTGCACCCAAGGCCATCCACTGCCCCGAAAATGCGAATCCCTTAAAAAGTGTCTTAAAATATGCCAGACAAAATATAGTTCAAAGGGGTATACTCCACTGAAATATCGTTAAAATGCCATGAAAATTGGGAGACACAGCCGGCCCTGGCGCCCATCTTACCCATCCCTTTTGCTGCGCCACAGTTTTCGTGTGCACAATAGCACAAAAATGGGAGCATTGTTTGGAATTGAAATAATAGCGAATGGATGCGAATGGATTCGAATGAGACCTTTCGGCGCCCATCTTTTTTGGTGCTGGTTTGCCAGGTGAAGGGGTACTCATCTGCCCGTGCTGACCTTGGCCCCTGCAACTGGCCATGTTTGCCGAATCGCACAGGCACGATGATGACTGTTGCATTTTCAGCAGCCGTCTGGCTTGGTGATGCTGACGGGCTGAATAGATGTCCCAGGAGTGCTCCCCCCTTAGCAAGCAGTCTTATGATATAGTAGAATATGATATTACCTTACTTATCCTTACTTCACATTCCCCTCTACCATGACGTTTGGAACGGGGACATTTGTTGAGACACACTGCCTTCGTTGATCTACGATCAGTCCCAGTCCCCATCCCACTGCTGATCAAAGTCCAACAAAAAAATGATCTTCCTCGCGTCGTTTCCGCCATTTCTGCAGACTTTACAATGTAAAGTTTTCATTGAGCCATATGGCAGTGTGTCAAAACCTTGTACCCCTGGTGAACATCAAAATAGCTGGTAAATGGATGTTCATCCCACTAAAAATGGTATGTATAGGTATTGATCCATACCCATATTGGGACTCAATAAATCCCAACCATTGGCACTCCTCTCGGATCCATCCTTTGGGACTCAATAATCGTCATCGTCTCTCCAAAACTTATGTCCAACTTCCAGTTGAACGTCTCCAGGCTCATATTTGGCCACACGCACTGTGCGGTACCTAAGGCGAGCTCGATTTGGACTCAGAAAGGGCTACCCGGCCTGGTAAACTAACAGTTTGCTATTGGAAATGACCGTGCTTAAGAGGTAAATCACCTATAAATGGGCCATTTTCCAGAGCAAACTGTTAGTTTACCAGAGGGTAAGTCAAAATTCAGGGACTGAAAGAAAAAAAAAGTGTTGATCTGTTTTTCGTGTTAAAATGTTGGCAAAAAAACACACATCCATTTCTTGAGGGACCGCCCTATGACTCGACCAGATTCTGCCCATCTTTGGGCGCTGGATGGTTGATTTCATGGAAAATTCCGATCTAATAGCTGGATGACTTAGGGCTATCCCAAACTTTCAGGAAACATGTCATCTGATGTCATCTGTTTACCCCTTTCCCATGGCATGTTGGCATTTTGCGGATGTCTGACATGGCTGGCAACATCAACCACCAGCCATGATTGCCCGATGCATGGCGCATGGCTCGAAACATGGCTATGCGTAAACCCCAAAATGGCTGGTACATGGATGCTCATGCCCAAAATATGATACCCCCTGGTAAACGTTTACATAACGAACTGGAAAGATCCACCAGGTTCAATGGGTAAATCCACTATTTCAATGGCCATTTTCAATAGCAAACTGTTAGTCATTACCAGAGGGTATATACCAATAATATCCCATTATATAAATCACTATAAACATCCCATTAAATCACCATGTTTCATGGTTTTTGATCCATCCCCAATTTCTTTGAAACGGAGGATGTGGGTCGAGTTTCTCCACATCAGCACTAGTCACACTAGTCACTATTGGGGATCGTTTGGACAGGGTTCGTATATGGCTCAAAATTCGATGGCGCCCTAAGAAATTGGATGATGAGTACATCTATAGTACATCTATATAAAAATCATTTTTTCATACATATGATATCATATGATCAATACATGATTCTATATAAAAATCATATTTTTTCATACATGATCAATACATTAAATCAACACTACTGACCAGAATCTGCCCTCTTTTTTTCGGCCCATCAAAATCTCAGGATCGCGACCGTCCCAGCATGTCCCAGCTGCACGGAATCCGCTTCCATCTCTCGCGCTTCGGGGAGCCGTAAGAGCTCGACCTGGAGTCGCCGAAAAGCGGCTCAAAGCATGAAGATCTTAAGTGGCTTTTAGGCACATCAAAATTAATGTACATATAATATACACATCTTATATATATATATGAATATATATATATATATGTGTATATATATAATGGTGTATATATATATACAATTATGTATATATATATATTTCACCACCATTTTCGGTGATGTTCCAGGGGCTCGATTCAGGCGACGGGAACTGATTGTAAGGGCACCACGAGCTATGTTTCTTGATTTACGTTAATTTATAACTCCTTCCAACTACGTATTTGCATGGATCCACTAGAATCAACCGATGTCCTTGGCGCCTTCTCCTCTCGCTGGAGCGGAGCCGCGTCGCGGATCATTTTCAGGTCCTAGCCAATCGCAGCACGAAAATATGGTGATTTTCATGGGACTTTTAATGATGATAATCATAAATAAGATTTTAATTATGATTGTAAATAATCATCAGCATCATCATTATCATCATTACTCTAATATGGTGATTCTAATGGGGCTCTCATGGGTCTGATTTACCAATCATTTATAATCAATCAACATTCTTCCACCTTTCCATAGCTATGTTGAATTGCCAAGGACTAAATGTGGTTTGCGAACATTCACCTGAAATGTTGTGTGATTTTTTGAGATGGTTTCCTGAATCCTATTCCAATCATCTTTGGTGACATCGCGACCATCCAACATCGATTTTAAGTAGCAACAAAGGGGGACAGTAACTGGTTGATTTCTTACATGGCCTCTATAGATATCGCCTTTTGGAGGTGTTTTTCTTGTACTTTTCCACCATCCTCCAACACTTTTTGTGTAGGTGAAATTCATGTTTTCACCTAAGGGCTTACAAGTGATTCTGCCCCATGTTTGGTGATTTTTTTTTCGGACCAATTTTTTCGTTGGTCAAGCCAAACCTATGAATGGTCGACAAAAATCCCACCATCATTTCCTAGAAATTGATGAAATTCACCTGCTGCCCCTACAGGTGATATCCAGGTGATATCCCTATGGTTTCACCAAGTTCACCCCTCAACGGCTGGATATCTCCGCAATTGGTGCCAAAAATCATCCAAATTTGCAACAAACCCGATCAACCCAATAATAAACCCACATCAACCTACCAGTTCGGGACGGGTTTAAGTTCACCCATAAAAATTCTTGACTTGGGGATGGTGCAAAAATAACTCCCCATCCCCTCTGTCCTTCAGCAACATGGGCGAGGTCAACACCCGGCTGCCTTCCTCCACGTGTCCCAAGGTGTTTGGTGCTTTCCGCAACGTCACCCGCGTGCCCGCCGGCAACAGGGGCTGCCTGGCAACTTTTAGGCAAGAAAAATGTGAGATTGAACCAAAAATAACATGTCGATTCTAGGCAGAAAAATGGTGCTGTTATCCCAGCTTTGTTTTTTCTACATCCACATGTTTGTCAGTTTTTAGTCCACATCTATGTTATTCAAATCTCTACTGTCTGTCGCCTGACCTACCTCACAAACTTCTTCCGAATCAAAAAATCCGGTTGCTTCACCCGCCCCAATTTTTTGATGTTTCAACTGCTTCCACCCTATCACCTGGGGCTCCAACTTGTGCGTCACTTCCAGATACTTTTTGCTTTTGAAGCAGGGGGGGCTCGGGATGGAGCAATTCCAGGGCACACCTCAGAAACATGCTTGGCTTTGCCAGGGAAAAACATAAGATGTTTGCCTGCAAACAGATGTGTATATATATATCTCAATACATATATATATATATATCAATACATATATATATGTATCAATATATCTAGGAATTATATAGGGTTTTATATAATATGATTTACAGTAACTAACACAATTCTGTGATTTTCCAGCAACAATTTGGAATTGCCAAGCGGGATTCGTCCAAGATGAGGAATCTGACCCAGCCGTTGGTGTTGTTCATCCACCGATTTCACCCGTTGGAAAATGCTGGGAACCAAAACGGTTCGGTGGTGGTTTTTTTCGGACGAACGTAGGATCTTTGTCCCTAAGAAATTAAGAAAATATAAAGGGATACCCCATGGCTTAATTGTAATTCATCTATATCATGATTTTTTAGAAAAATACAAATGAGAAGAAGCGGAATTCACTGTCCGATAATTCTTCATTCCTAAACACCACGGGATTTGTCCAGCATAAATCAGCAGGTTTGGCCCGTAAGGTGCATAACGTCCATGCGTCTCTTCATGTCATGCAGTGTGGTAAACCATGGTAAACCCACCAATTCGGTGCTCCAAAACCATCCATTTCTGGTCATTGTGGACGTAAAAAATGATGGTTTCTGGTCATGGGGACCCTTTCAACGTCTAAGTCTGGGATCGGATGCGCCACGACAAGTGACAACACACATCTCAAGGTGTTTGTGTTTCCCACAGACGCAAAAAGTCAGGTTTGACCAACCATAGGAATCCAAGAGCCGAATCCAAAGGAGTCCTACTAGGCTGTACTGAAACGGCACCGGAATAATGAATCCAACCTTCATTGATGTGTAAAAAACTAACTTCGGCCGTCTCTGAACCTCTGCTTCTTGCGTAACTTGGAAGGTGAAGGTGGTCTCAAACAGGGCCAACCACCGCTGGATCCCCCAGATTCTGTGACGAAAGGGCTCAAAGGAGCCCTTAAATGTAGGCTGCTGGTAATCATGATATTGGCATCCTCTGAATTTTGACCCAAAAACTGGGATGTGAGAGATTCCTTCAGGGCCAGGGCCCCCAACCCCAACCATCAGGTTGTGCCCCAGAAATGGATGATTAAAAAGGCTGACAACAACAAAAATCACTCCAAGATATCTCAAGTGAGCAGCGCAACCATCCTTCCAAATGTCCCGGACCACCGTGATGGCAGGCAGTTGACAGCAAGCAACGGCCAAACCTTGGACGAGAGCGGAACTAGTATCCGATAATATCCCAGATATTCCCATCAAATCCTGGTTGTAGAATGTCAAAGATGTTCTATAGCTTTACAGTATACCATAGAAAATTAGAAAATTAGAAAAAGCCATGGAACAAATAAGTTTTTCTTCATTTCGTATAGTTTTTGTAGAATGTCATTGAAAAAACCTTGGATTTGTTTTTAAAAAAAAACTTGGGTTTTTCCCATATAAGCCATTCAAAAACCTTATTTTTTCCCATGGCCTTTTTTTTTGGTCGAAAAAAAAAAACTTCCTCCTCATCTCCAGGCAACAGCACCATCTTCTCCAAGTCCTCTCGTGGCACCGTGGCGGCCTCGATGCTTTCATCGAAGCCCAACATCTGCAGCAAGGGATCCAAGGACACCTTGCTGCGGCGAAGTGCGATGCAACGGGCAACGGGAAGCAGTCATATCATAATATATATATATATGTATATATATATATAATATGATTTAATGGAGAAATACCTGGTTAATAATGGTGAATCATTGATCATAAATATATATATATATATGTATATGGATATATGGATATATATGGGAGTATTTAACCATCAAAATTAGGGATTTAACTGGATTGAATGATGATAGAATGGCTGGTTGGTGGTTGACCTACCCCTCTGAAAAATGATGGAGTTCGTGTCAGTTGGGATGATTATTCCTCATATATATATTGGAAAAATGAAAAATGTTCCAAACCACCAACCAGTGTGTATATATATATATATGGAAAATATGGGATAAGAATACGATGTGATATGGAATAAAATAAGATTGGACAATATATGATAATATTGGCAATGATATGTAGTGATATAACATGCCACTTGTAATGTGGGATATCCCTGTACGTATCATATGATAGTCTCAAGTATGTGAGGTCTAATTTGTTTCAAAAACCATGAACCCAAACGCACATCACACACTGGGGGCACAGGCCATTTGAAACACCATATCATGATGGATACAATAATCATAGAGACATAGATGAACAATGATGTACATAGACGTCATGGATCATAGATCATCGCAAGATTTATTTGGTGTCCTAAAAAATCAGATTTTTTTCCCATAAACCATGGCTTTTCCCATGGATAATCACCAATAATTTGGAAACCCCAGCTGATAGTTTTATTTCATGGAAAATCGACAAAAATCTCAATAGCTGGATGGTTTCATCTGTGGAAAATCCTACTAAAAATCCCATCTATAAATGGATGATACCCTCTGGTAATTTAACATAGCTATTGAAAATCACCATTTTTAATGGGAAAATCCACTATTAATTGTCATTTTCAATAGCTATGGGGGGTACCACCATGACAAAACGGAAAGCCCATCGCCGCCGCCAGGACACAGCCACTGCAGTGACTTCATCGAAACTCACCGCGGCGTCCTCGTTAGCGGACGCACATGGATGGAGATATATGGGGTATATATGGGGTGTATATGGGGTGTATATGGGGTGTATATGGGTATGGGTCAATACCTATAGATACATTTTTAGTGGGATGAACATCCATTTACCAGCTATTTTGAGGTTCACCAGGGGTACAAGGTTTTGACCCATCCCCATATAATTACTAAAAGAAAAGCCCATCCAACTGTTGTAAAGAAACAATAATGAACACATACAAGCTCTTGCTTGCATATCATGGGGTACCATATATGGTAATTCAACAGTTAGCTGAAAATCACCATGTTTGATAGGTAAATCATCTATTTCTACGGGTGTTCAATAGCTGTATTCTACGGGTGTGTCTGAAAATGATGCTTTACCCCGGAAAAAAAAAACGATGTTCATAGGGGAAAGTGATGATTTATGAATGGATGATTTCTGATGATATGGGGTAAACGGAGTAAAAAACTAGTCACAATGGGGATATGATGGGATATGATGATGTAGTGGATATAGTTCACCAACTATCTGCTGCTACGCCAACCTGGAGAAACCAGCATTGATCATTTACCCAGAATGATTGTGAAAGTTGGGGAACCTTCACAGAGCAACCACTTGAAAGAAGACATCTATGTTGTACATGATGTCTATATTGACATATAAACATATATAAACATATACATAAATAAACATATATAAACAATCATCATCCAGTCATCCACTGTTTCTGGGTCCTATCCTTTCCCTTCATCCGTGGGTCATTTAGGGATGGTGTCTCGTCAGACATGTCCCATTCTCATCTTGTATCTCCACGGTCAAATCACAATTGTCTATGCTTAAATATGGATGAATCCATCGTTGAATCCATCGTTTCTATCATTGGAAATCATCATATTCCATCATAAAATCATCATTTTCCCAGGGTTTTTCGCCATGTTCCACCCTGGTTTCAAGTGCTTCACTCCAAGGAACCCCCGAAATTTCCTCACCATCGGATGAGATCAGTTTGCAGAAGGGCACCTTGCCGCTGTCATCAGTTCGCTGTGCTAAGCGCATCAAAGGAAGTTTGCATTCCCCGTAAGAAAAAAATGCGAATAATGTGCTTGAAACAATCATAAACCATCTATAAACCATTCCCAGTCATGGGTGGTTTATGACATTTTACCCACATTACACCCCGCATGCGTTTCGGGTGTGTTTCGAACGAGAAGTTTCTTGGGTCGACCAGCCCCAAAGGCTGTAGAAATGCCTGTGCCAAAACCCTCAGCAAGCCAGCTGTGACGGGTTAAATGTGGGCATTGACACACAGATATGAAAAGAACATGCAACATGCGTATATATATATATACAATGTGAGATATGCTCTGGTGTGAAGTTCAAGATTTGTTAAAGTCAAGACGTGCTAAATATGCACGATATGACCTGGAATGATCTCCGTGCATGGCGCTCGGACAAAAAAAGGGGCGATTCACCGTGCCATTGGAGTCACAGCGGGTACTGTTCATCAACATCCAGAATGAATATGTGAAATTAGCGAATTAGAACAGGCAAAATTGTTCAAACAATGATTAGTACATATATATATATATATCCTTCATATATATATATATAAATATATCCTCACAATGATGAACAATTTGAACAGGCAATTATTATATATATATATCCTTTCCACAATGATTGTAGTAGTTCACAAATGCACAAACCTGAAATGAGGGAGATGACGGTGGTGCCACTTTCTCAACACAATACCGGTGACTTAGCGGTACGTGGCCGTGGTTCCATTTGGGTTCGTCTAAAAATGTGGTATACCATGTAAAATAATAATAATTTTAATGGGAATGTTAATGTAAAAAATGTGGTATTCCATATTATCGTCCACAAAATCCATTTTCACACAAATAATGATGATTCAATGGTAAAAATACGAGATTTTCTCAACCATCAAAGCTTTTTTTTTCGGGTTACTCCAATAGACAAAACCAGATGACTTGGATGACTTGGATGATGATTTGGGGTAGCCCTATGACGCACTACGACCCCCATATGTAGTGTATAGTAATATAACCTATATAATCATATATATATATAGAGTATATGACCTGTATACTAATATACTATGTAATATTATGGGTAAAGACTACTATTAATTAGATATGGATAATATACCATCTATATATTATGGCAATTACTATATAGAGAATACCATCTATATAGATAGTATGATATGTGGTAAGTATATTAACATATATCATGGTTTTTACTATGAATAGCTGGTTGGTGGTTTTAACCATCTTGAAAAATATTACACAATGGGAAGGATTATCCCATATATTATGGAAAATGAAAATTGATTGAAACCACCAACCAGATTAGATCTTCTTCCTGCCCATGTCCTTCGTTGGCACCTTCATTGCCTCTGCGACTTCTTTGGTGAGCTGACCTGCAGTCATCGCCATCTCCGTTCTGAGAATTTCCTGCAAGAGCAGGGGCATCTTACGACCACATATTTGTATTGTATGATGTCTGTATGTATCTATATATATATGTGTGTGTGTAAATGTGTGTATGTACATATATATGTACATATATATGCACATATATATATATATATACGTATATACACGTGCATAAATATATATATATATGTGAATGTATTTGCATATGTAATTATGTACATATATTATGTGTGTGTATACGTACGTGTGTGTGTGTATACGTACATGTGTATACGTGTGTGTGTGTGTGTATACGTGTGTGTGTATATACGTGTGTGTGTGTAGGAACTGGGGAACTATCGTGCCCCATTAGAATGAGGTGACAATATGTTCTGTTGTCTTCAAATCAATTATCCATGTAGTAAGACGGTCTATCCATGTAGTCTAACGATATTAATGATAACTATATAGGTAATTAGAGATCATCTAATAATATGTAATGATATATCTAATATAATGGATATATCTAACATATATCATATATATATATATCATATATCATATAACTATATATGATGGATTAATGATAAATTCCATTGGATTATGCGAGATGAACCAACTTCCCATTCACCCCATGGAATTCTGGAGCCTGGCGGCCTGGCTTTCCACTAGCTCTTCCACACAGGGGTGGGTTGTTTCATCGCCAACGAACCAAGGTCCCCTGTGTTCGCTAAATCGCTACGAACTGGTGCGTTCATAACTCCAATTTCACTATGGTTTATGGTAGATACCCGGACTGGTAAACGTTTACATAACTATGGAAAATCACAATTTTTAATGAGTATTTTCAATAGCTATGTTAGTTTACCAGAGAGTATATCGAACTACTTACTATGGTTTATAAACCAACATTCACATCACTGGGGGGGGCACCACCTCGGTTTATCCCGGGTACAACGGGTACGTTGCGTTGTGATCCCGGAGGTGAACTGCCAACCCCCCCGAAGGTATCCTCACCGCTCAATGTCACCACTCGAACCATCGTGGCAGTTCCAAGGATGGTCGGCGGATTTGAACTTGGAAAAACTCTGCGGAACCCATTGGAGGTACCTACCATATATAAGGCCTATGTAAGGGAATATCCCCACAAAATGTGGTTGGCTGAAAATGCTCGAAACTTACGAATACGATCTGTGGCTTGTGATGTCATGGAAGTCGATTGCAGAAAAGGTGCACTTGAAACGAAGAACTCTTCAGAAATGGAGTTTCCGGGTATTTCTCTCAGTGTTCCATCCCCTTAGAAAAGAGCCTAGGCTACAGGTGCTACGGGCTGCGGCGTTCTGACCGATATATAATGAAAGTAATTCATGTTGTAACACACAAGTGCGGGTCATGTCTTGAACGCCTTTCTGCAGGAATTGCAACCATGTTGAACACATCCTTCCAAGAACTATGCAGTATATTGCTATATTTTAAGGATGTGTTGCCTCCAAATCTATGGTGTTTACATGTTTTTACGAGTTTTTACCTCAGCAAACCCATCGGCTGGGAAGACCCTTTCGGTGGGTAAACGCCCCGCCTCTGGCTCGCTCGGAATCCATTGAAGCCACTGTCGTCAGGCCTGCCAGGGGCTGACAGATGTCTGCCAACAAACCGGGTTCAATGGGTCTACCCTCTGGTAAACAGCCACATAACTATGGAAAGATCCACCATTTTTTATGGGAAAATCCACTATTTCTATGGCCATTTTCAATAGCTATGTTAGTTTACCAGAGGGTATCTGGATTTTTCTGTGGTTAAAACAATGAACCACCCCATTTTGGATGATATATACCACCCAAAAAAATGGTGATTTGGGGGATGGTTTATGAGTGTTTTAACCACATCTATATATATATATAGAGGCTAATGAGGCTTTCTTGATGTTGCCAACTTGTGGAGACATAAAATCAACAACATGGATATCTGGATGAATCATAGTACCCTCGGATAATCAAACATTGGTGGAAAATTCACCATGTATGGGCGATTTCCCGGCGAAGTAAAAGCAACTAAAGTTCCATTCACGTTGGATGAAACTGGAGAGGTAAAGGTTTTTCTTTGAAATCTTCGGCCAGAACTGGGAGAATCACCCCAATTCTCAAGATTCCACATTTTTTCAGTGGTTTCAGTGGTTTCTGTAAGTCACATCCGTGAAAAAAAAACTCTCCTACTGCAGTCAGGTCTCGCAGAAGACATGCCATGGTGCCATGGGCTGCCATGGGTGAACCATCCCAATCAGCGAAACTTGTTCCGTAAATGTTAGTCTCTCACTTGAAATAAGGCTATACCCTCCAGTAAACTAACAGTTCGACCCTGGCAGTCATCGGGGTTGGAAGATGAGTTTCCAAAACAGATTGGTGATTTTCAGGGTCCAACTGTTAATTTACCAGAAGGTAAATCTTGGGATTCTCCATGATTCTCCGAATCAAATCACCATGGTTTTTCCCAGCTGGTTCTGCTGGAAGGTCTTGGTAACAATGGGAGGGTCACCTCCGTCACCTCCCAAAACTTCTTCATCCCACTAATGATAGATGATTTCCCACCATTTATAGATGGCAGTGTGTCAAAACCTTGTACCCCTGGTGAACATCAAAATAGCTGGTAAATGGATGTTCATCCCACTAAAAATGGTATTAATAGGTATTGATCCATACCCAGATGGTTTCCCATAATTGTCCCATTCAAATCATCATCCGCGAATTCTCAGTGATCCCCTCGCCTTCAGCGCTCTCGGAAGATAAAGCTTCCACCTGTGAATCGCCAGATTTGTTCGGAACCCTCCAATATCAAACATGGCGGGGTTGCAAAACCTTTATTTTTAATATGGTTTCTATAAATTCAAATACATGTTGATTTTTTTGGCATCCCCAACACAGGGGCTCTTTGAAACATGAATGACTTACCTGCATAATATCGTGAAGTTTCGCGGAGTTCCTAGGATCTTAGACCTTGACCGCCAAATGAATCTCCATTGAATCCCCATTGAAACTTCCATTTATAATTTCCCATTGAGCAAACCAACCATCCAGACAGTTGTCAAACGAACAACCGGATGGTTGCAGCATCACAAAAAATGGGCGGCTCCATTGATACCCCAAAAACCCAACCCGCAAATCAAACATGGCATGCTGGGAAATACCGAAATAGCTATTGAGTTCGATGATTTGAGCATCTATAAACCTCCATTCAGTTTGGATATTTCCCAGCTAGCCATGTTTGATGACACCAGAGGCTACATTCCCGATACTATATTCTTGGTGTTCTATATCTTGTGAAAATATCCCCATGATATGCCCATTATATCTCCATTCAATTCAATTCAATTCCATTTAATCACCAGCTAATGGGATATAATCCCATTTAATCCCAATTATATTCCCAGGATATTCCCATGATCTTTCTCTTAAATCCCATGAAATCTCACTTAATCCCCGTTTAGTTGGATATAATCCCATTCAGTCCCATTCAATCACCAATAAATCACAATATTCCCATGATATTCCCATATTAAACCCCCATGAAATCTCCATGAAATCACCATGAAATGACCCTGAAATCCACCCTCCGCCCGCACCCCCACCTCCTCTACCTCCTCCTCCCATCGGTTGGGTGTCCGGGGGTCCGTGAGCACTTCATCGTCCACCGAGAGAACTTCGTCTTCTTCGTCGTCGTGGGCCTGAGAACTTCAGCGAGGAGGCCAGTGGATGATGAAAATGATGGATTTCACCGAGTCATTGAGGTTTTACCAGGTTTTCATGGTGATAAAAAAGGCTGATCTCTCATGGGATTTAATGGTAACTACGTGGGGATTTCATGTGGAAACGTGGATTTAATGGGATGTAATGGGAATATCATACATATAGGAAACTTCCTTCGGCAAGGGATGGATCGCCACTTCCCTATCGCGATCCAGAATGAGATTCAGGATGTCAATGGGATTGTAATATTTACCCTCTGGTAAAGAAAAAATAGCGACATTGAAGCCATGGCCCAGTTGAAATCGTTGACTTACCCATTCAAAATGTTAATTTTCCATAGTTATGTAAACGTTTACCAGAGGGTATAAATTGGTGGTTCATCCTAGGAATCGGTAAGTAACGGTTAGTGAGTTCACTCCAGTTTTGTGAACGTGGATTAAGCCTACTGATTTCTACTTAGCAAATGGGGGATCCCCAAGTCAACATGGTTGTTTCAATAGCAAATCATGGTCATCCATGACGACTGGATGATAACTGAGGTGACCCCCATGACTTAGGACCCCCCCAAATGTGTTGGTGAAAGTCCCAAGTTTTTGACAAATTATGTAAAATGTATACTGGTTGGTGGTTTTAACCATCTTGAAAAATATTAGTCAATGGGAAGGATTATCCCATAATATATTATGGAAAATAAAAAATGTTTGAAACCACCAACCAGTATACTAACATATACTACCAAAAAGTGAGCTCTCATTTCTTGATATGATGCTTGCCATGTTTACTTGAAGACCCATTTTCGGTGGGTCAGATACCAAACTTACTCCAATTCCTGAACATCTGCGCATCCGCGTTCAAAAGGAGCCAACTTAAAAATACTGCCTGGTGGTTTCAATCCCCATGTGTTTGCTGCTGTTACATCAAGCTAAATCAGGTTAAAAAGAAAAAACAAGTTAGATCATCTTTCATCCACATCAATGAAAAACTTAAGTGACTCAAGTTCATAAATCAATGTGATGAGTTTTCTTAGCTTCAAGTAAGATGTAGTTGATCTGACTATGTAACTCAATTACCCCCTGGTTATGACTAACAGTTCGCCATGGTATAGATGGCCCATTTATCGAAATAGATGCTTTACCTAAGGGTTTACCGAACTTAAAAAATGGTGGATCTTTCCATGGCTATGTCAAATAACCAGATGGTAACTCATTGGAAGAACTAACTAATGGTATATTAACTAAGGTAGAAATATTGGTTAGATGGTACATCAAATAACTAAGGTACAAGGGTAACTCATAACTGTTAGTCATAACCAGCTGGGCTTCAGCTTCGGCTTCTGGGATGTCCGGGCCAGTTCTGGTGGCTCGTTGTCCGAGGTCGCCTCAAGGCGCCGGCGAAGGAGACAGATGTGGAGACAGATTTCTGGATCGATTTCTTGGAAAATGTTGGGGAAACGTTGGGGAAATGTTGGGGAAATGTCGGGGAAATGTTGATGGATGTGGATAAGATTGATCAGATTGGGGAAATGTTGATGAATATCATGGATAAATATATGGATGTAACTCATTTCTGCATCTGATGTATCCACCAGTCGATGTATATGACTGTATTAATGATTGTCTATGTACATGTCGAGAAGTTGTTATCATCTATATTTATCTATAGCACCAAAACATGATGGGAATCAATCCCACCCAACCAGGGGAATCCCCAAGACATCCGAGGCTTTCCCGCCTCGCAGGTGGAAGGTACTTCAGGATCACTGCACCTGAGCCGTTGCGGGGACCTGTTTGGTTCAAGCACAAGTTGGTGTTTTTTAAGCTGGTGTTATACCCTCTGGTAAACGTTTACATAGCTATGGCAGCTATGGAGCATCCACCATTTTTCATGGGAAAATCCACTATTTCGACTGGGTCATTTTCAATAGCTATGTTAAATTACCAGAGGGTAACTGTAATTATGTTTTAATATACCAGTCATGTGTTCATTGAACAATGTCAATATAGAGGTGTGATATTTAAAACATAGATAGCTTATGCAATGCTATTATACACAATGGGGATCGTTACGGTTGTTGCAACGGGGTGAAGATTCATAGAGCTATACTCCAAATGCATAACCGGCATAACCCCATACATCAAGTTGATGTCTAGGAACTCTCGAGTCACCAAGGTTTGTCCAAACTCATAGCCTTTGTTCAGGCCCAAATATGAAAACTTGCTAGCTGATAAAGCACTTTGGCCACTGGCATGTGCAGTTTTTCTGACTGAAGACTGAAAAAGAGACAGAAACGGAAAAATACTTTTCTGAGGCCACAAGCATTGCTTTCCTCCCCGTTGGCAAAAAAGGTGTTCCAGTTCCCGATTCGCAAACTTCTGCAGTCTGGATCCCGATTCAACTGAGCCAGGCCTCACAAGCAGGTCTTTGCCGGAGACTTTGATGCTGACCCAGCCTCCATGGGAAAATCGTGCGGGCGATGTGGTGCTTCAAAACTGGGCTTCGGTCCAGGTCGACGACCAAATGGACGTTAACCCCAACTAGGGGAATTTTTACGAAGATTTTAGGGGAATATATAAATGATATGATATAAGTACTAAGAATAGAGAAGTCCAGTTGGGTTTAATAGGATACTGATTATATCAATCGAACCATCCAAATGGGTATTTAAATTGATAAAACCATGGGAATATGTCATAGGAAAAAACATGTACTACGAACCATGGATTTCACCAATGGAACCCCATTGGAATGGTGCGCCTATTTGGTGATGCCTTCCTGATGTATACTATAAAAGGTGCATATTAATGTGTAGAAATATATTATATATATATATATCATATGTGTAAATATATATATATATACATATATATACATATAGATATATATATATATATGCATCCATGGATGTTTCTGTGTATCTGATCCACATCATCTCATCGCATCATCATGAAAAGTGTAGTCTAAGGCCGCCTGTCTTTGGACCACGACCCGTCACCTTGGCATCGTTGTGGAGATATTGGAGGTAGCATAACTGTGGAACATGGCCCATAAAAAGGATGAATTATGAAGTTTTACCTATGAAAAAAGGTGATTTTCCATAACTACGTTCAATAAACAGAGGGGAAAGAATCTGAATATGTCCCGTAATAATCTCACTACAATCCCACTAAATACTTATAAATCCCATTAGGTAACCATATTTCTAAACCATTGGGGCATTAAATGACATGTACTAGTATAATTTATAATATGCATGTAGCCAGCCCAGATTTCATCTGGAATGCATGTGACAACTAACAGCAACCTACATGTGTGTACACATATATACATATATGTGTATGCATATATATATATACACATACATACACATATACATGTATATATACATATGGGGGGTTCCATAAATGGGGGTACGGTACCCCCCAAATCATCCATTTTATTAGGATGTTCCATTATAAGCCATACATTTTAGGGGTACCACCGCTCCTCCTCACACTCGAGCAAGGAGCAGAGAAGTAAGATCATGTCACCCTAAAACTCACCCAGATATAAGTAGATAAGGTACATATATTACATGTATATTACATGTGTATTACATGTATTACATATATTTCATATACCATACATGGAGCATATGGCAAAGGCAACAATCCAATCCTGCGAGCCATGGCTGGGATCCCAATAAAAATACATTGAAATACCGGAAAAGCCCCTGGCTTTGTATTATATATATACACATATATTATTATTAGGTTTACTCATTTTGGGGTCCTCGTCAAGGCTTCTTTTATGCAACAGGGATATTAGGGGGACCTGATTTGATTATAAACCCCTAATTTGGGATACTTGGAATATTAAGGGGATCTGATCTCAACATTAAGGATATTTGGAATGGAAGATGTCGGAATTTCATAGCTGAAAAATTCTGATCCAACTAAGGGGGCATGTTCATGGCGCCAAGTTTGAATCAACAAATGGTAAAATTGGCATATCCCATTCAGAATCAATCACTTTAGAAAAATAATTCACCATTTGTCAACCATAAAGTTCCCCTAAAAAATCACCATTTTTCAGAAAAAATCGCATCATTTCCAAAAAAAAAATCCAATCGCCCAGTTCTTTTTGTGGCTAAAAATCCATCCACCCAGAACCAGCCGAAACGTTCGTCGAAACGTCGAAACGTCGTTGTTTCAGGCGGCCAATTCGAAGTTCAGCCGTGTGCCAATCAGCTCCAACTCCCGCACCTTGCGAAAGATCGGACTGCGAAAGGAGGTCCAGCTCAGGTCCCTTTAAAAAAAAGCCCTTCGACTGGTGAATGAGCCCAATGGTGGTGAAAATGGTGGTTAATGGTGGTTTAATGGTGGTTAATGGTGGTTTAATGCTGGTTAATGGATTTTGACTATAATCAGGATTAACGGGGATATGAATGGATAACAACTACCATGATCAGTGAATATTACGGGATTTAACCACCAAATGGGGATATGAATGGATACTAATCTGGTTGGTGGTGATACCTACCCCTCTGAAAAATACACAAAATTTAGGATTATGATTCCCAATAGATGGAAAAATAATCCAAATGTTCCAAACCACCAACCAGTAACTTATGACCGTTATGACATGTTATGTATGACTATAACTTATAAATAACCTCATTCAAATGATTTGTTTTTCCGTTGCAGGAGTCAAAAGCCCAAGGGCCACAATTGCACAAATATGTACCGGTGCCATTTACGAATGGTTTTATCATTGGTTTTAGGTTTGTCTAAGAAAACACCGATAAAATCCTGGTGGTTTAGGTTTAATCTTGAATTTCGGAATCATGCGTTTATTGGGGGATGTTATATATGGCTACCTTTCCAAAAACAACTTCATGATTTTCACTGTGAATGGTATTTCAAAGAAGGGCTGTTGCGGGCGCATGCCAAAAATATTTGCAGATAATAGCATAGTTTCCCCATGTTTCACCCACCATTCTCTTAGCCCAAAGGTCGCATACAGACCCGGATTACCAGTCCGTCAAAATCATTCTGTTTTCAGCCCATTATTGTTGGTATGTCCGAGATGCGGATTCGCAACCATTTATGTTTCTTTTCCATTGAACTAGTTATACGTAACTACTGTATACATATGCATACAGCATAAGATGATAAAGTTCATATATACCCTCTGATAATTTAACCTAGCTATTGAAAATCACCATATTTAATGCGTATATCATATATATATATATTATATTATATATAAATGACCATTTTCCCTAGCTATGTTAGTTTACCAGAGGTTACCCACCAGTAAACTAACATTGCTATGGGAAATCACCATGTTTCATGTGTACATCATCGAACTCCCATTCAGCCACTGCCAGTTTCAGCCACTGTTCAGCCAAGCGTCGGTGGCGCGGAAACCAAGCCTGGTTTAACCCCCCTGGTGGTTTTGCCAGGTCTGTCTGCGAATGGGGAGGGCAACCACCCCGATACCGCAATAAACTGAGGGGGCAAATGATTTTCACCAGTGGATTTTGAGGGACCCTATTTTCAGAAAAACCCATCAAAAATCAATGAGTGCTGATTTGAATATCTGGGTGAAAAGATATGTACGATCCATTGCAATCTGTCGACAGTCGGAGGAAATCGCTCTTTCAAATGGTAAGAAAACGATGGTTTCTAGCAAAATCAGCAAATTTTGAGCCAAGATGTCTAACTGCACTTTTCATACTTGAGTTCTTCTGCTGGTCTAAAAGCGCAGGTTAGCAAACAAAACACAATCACCCAGCAAATCCCACAGAATTCATCAAAACTTCTCTAGATTTCCCGCCATCCTGCAAATGTGTTTTTTAACCAACCAAGAACCCCTTCTGGTAAAAAATTAACAGTTGGACCCTGAGAATAGCCATTTTGTTGATACTAATCTTCCAACCCCGATGACAGGGTCTATGTTAATTTACTGGGTATATATATATATATATCAAACAACCATTTCTGCCCAGCGCCCTCCACTTGGGATTGGCCATACTTCCATTCAGACCATTTCAGACCCACAAATCGAAAACAACAGCCAGATGGATAGATGGTCACTGAATCAAACCCCGACGTGGACTGTCCCGCCACTTGCTATCGCCAACCGATATGTAGACCACATAAGTCAAAGGCCCAAGTGCATACGCTATAGGTTAATCCCGCCTGCCAGATGCCTCCGGTGATTTCAAGTCCTCACGAACAGAATGTGTCCATGGCCTAAATTTCAGCCACAGCCAGTCTTTTTAAATGATCAAAGTATATCTAAGTCATCTAAGTCAGCTAAACATATCATTATATATATATATATATCATATATAGTATTCTGTTGTTAAATGCAGAGCTTTCCATCCGGTTACACCATGACGCAACCAAACCAAGGTCAGCTGGCTGTTGCTCAAAATCCCTAGCTTTGATGGAGACATGTACCATTTCCGTTGGCAAAATCCCATGTCTGTGTTGCTTAGAGACGTCCAGACGTGCGTTGCATAAATTCCAACTTTGCTTACTTGAATACCAGTTGTTTGTTGGTCAAAATCGTGTTTTGGTTGGTTAAATCATGTTAAATCCCAATCTTGGGTACAAGTCCCATTGTCACTTTATTGAACTGTTAATTAATTAACCCATTCTCATTTCTAATGTTTCTTATTTAAAGATTCATCCCAATGATGACCTGCATATAAATCCCAACATTTCATCAAATTCCAATTTTTCACTAGTAAACCCCATTTTTCTACCAATTGTTTTTTCGAAACCATATTTTGGTGGCTCAGTTTTGGATATATATCAACCCCCCAGTTATCATTTCATCGTTCCTGCGCAGTGCGCACCAACACTCCACCCGCACAGCGGCCACCTGCTACAGAAGACAGAGTGAGGTGATGTGACCCTCTTGTAAACGTACAAAAAGACGGAAACCCGATGGTTTTTGTAGGGGAAAAAAAACAAATGGTAGATTAGAGAAAAATCATCTACATTCATATTGGGTGTTCCACATCGAACTGTTAGTTGAGGGTAATTGTCTTAATTATATGATTTATACTTGAAATAAGTAGATAATCAGATGTTCATTGATAATGTTAGTCAATGAAATCATGTGATGTTTTACCATTGTTTAGTGACTGTGGTCGATGGTAGATGGGATGATGTTGGTGAATAACAGCCAAACTCTTGAATGATCATTTAGTAATCATCACTCAGTACTAATTGTATCACCGCCAGTTTCCTAGTGGATGAATCATGGCCAACGATCATCAATAATCACATAACATCATAGGACCCAATTTTGGGATTCCAGAGGTGCATGGGAAACCATGGTTGTCCACATTTTTTTGTTCAGCAATTCACCGTGAAAGGACACATCCCCATATGTGACATGTCAAGTTACATATGATTAACAGTTTCTATAACCATCCATCACACAATGGGAATCGTCAAAAAACGAATATATAATCCCTATTTGATGACCATCACATCTGGATAAACAAACCATGTTTTACCGATGGCAGTTCCACCGGCCCGCCCCCGGTGTCGCACCTATGACTTCCCAAGTGCCTCAGGCGGATTTGGCTTAAATTTGCCATGGGGACATACGCCAAGTGTTTTTGAACATGGCCGCGGGAAATTCCCACTCTGCACCAAAACCTCCCAGACCTTCCCCGGAACCCTATTGAACCTGACTTGGCTTTGCACCAAGGCGTCCTGGAGCCTTCTCCGGAACTTTCTCCGGAACCCTGTTGAACCTCTCCCGGCTCTGCAAAGCCTCCCAGACCTTCCCCGGAACCTTCTGGAACCTTGTCCGGAACCCTGTTTAACGTGACGCGGCTCTACACAAAAGCCTCTTAGACCTTCTCCGGAACCTTCGGAACCTTCTCCGGAACCTCGTTGAACCTGACCCGGCGCCTGGACCAGTGCACACCGGAGCTATTCTGGGCTGAAGACCCCATTAGCTTACGCTGTTGGGGAAAAATTATCTTGTAGTTGTTTTTCGCACTTCGCACTTACAGTGCTTTGCATCATTGTATCACTCAAAAAACACTAAAAAAAACCTTGGGAAAAAATATCTGGAGACTGTTGGCAAAACCCCAAAAAAAAAAATGAAAAAACTTGAAAAAAAAACAAAAAAAAACTCTGTTTGGAGACTCTTGGCGAGAACCCCCCATCCAGCAAGACATCTGGATTTGTTTAAAAGTTTGTTTGGTTTTACAATTTTCTGGCCCCCTCGGCCTCCCTGGAAAAATGCATATTTTTTTTCAATGTTTTTTTGTTTTTCGATTTTCTGGTTCCCAAAACTTATGTTTTTTTCCCTATAGTAAGCCCTTTTTACATAATGTCACTGCTTATTTTTCTTGCACAAAAACAATATAAGCCCGCGTCAATACAAAACATGCCGAAGTAATGTCAACTATTTGACCTCTTCGAAAACGATGTCACACGCACAAACACTGCCTGCTGCATTACACAACTTGACATTGCACCGCATCCTGATGCAAAACTATAAGGCCTCTTGTGAAAGGATGAAACATTTTTTGTGTTGGATTATTTTGTGTTGGAAACGCTTTCTTTTCAAAATATCTCCTGCTGATACACCGCCATATATCAAAGGTCTGCTTGCGGCTCGACGGCTTAAGTTGCGTGCCTGGCTACTGAAGCCAAGAACTCCTGCCCCAGCCCCGGCTGCATGGAATCGAGGAGGTAAATCTTGCCGTCTCCGCCCCAGCGGTATGCAACCCAACGCCGATTTCCCGAAGTCTGGATCAAGCCGACTGCCCCATGTGCCTTTGCCATACTTTGCACCAGGTTGTGAAAGTCCAGGACGTAGCCCTGGTCGAAGAGGGCGGTGTAGAGCACTTGTATGGGATACCAACCGCCTGCCCGAATGTGTTCACCTGCAGCATCATCAATCCCTTCCAATTGGCGGAGGTAGGTGGCAGCTGCCGTTCTCATGGTCTGTGGGGTTAACAGAGGCGCACCCAAAGAATTGTTGAGGGCGTGCATTCCACAGTGAGCTGCATGTGCCGTTGGAAGTAGAAGCATTGCGCAGCTGGCGCGAGGCCGCGCTATACGTAGATATACGTAGATATACATAGATATACATAGATATACGTAGATATACGTAGATATACGTAGATATACATAGATATACGTAGATATACATAGATATACAAAGATAAACATAGATATACAAAGATATACAAAGATAAACATAGATAAACATAGATATACATACATATACATAGATACGTATATTATATAATATATATATATACGTATATGTAGATGCATTTACATATATTCTTTTTTGCCTGATCAGCGCATGTATGATCACTTTGGAATGTTGACTAGGGACATAGTCCCGCCACTGACAATCCGGTTTTAGGGTCTCTTGAAGATCAAATTGGTATGTCCCCCATGAATCCTGAAACAAAACATCTGGCTCTGCAAACAGGTAATATGGGAGTCAAATTACTAACCCAAAAAACAAACTGGACCGTTTGATTCTAGGAATGACCATAACTCCTCGAACCCCAGAATCTGTATGAACAATGTAGTTGCATAAAAGCATGCGCGCAGAAGCCTTGTCTAAGAATACTATGTTTGAAAGCTATGTGCAATCATTAGATCAGCTATTGTCCATTTAAAAAAAAATGGAAACTATGATAGTCCTTGATGAACTTCTGTGCGCAGTAAATCTGTTTTATCTTCCTTCAGCGACGAAAAAACCCAACCTTTGGCCATCGGCCGCACGGATCTGATAAGCCTCAACGTTTACAGAACGAACTGGAAAATTGCCATTTAAAAATGTAGTGATTTTCCGTTATGGAAGCCGTATTACCAGAAAGTGTAACATTACGGCCAAGCACACTGGCCAAAACTCATGAAAACTCGAAGTTTCAACCACCGATTCATGTGATATTCACCCAATGCCAACCCACAACGATCATGTCTGGGGATGGTTTATGACATTGGGTGAATCCGACATTGTCATCCCATGATGAAAATCATCATTGTCCTATCATGAACCACTATTACTAACCATGTATTATCCCATCATTAACCACTATTATTATTCACCATAAACTATTATTAGCCATTATTATCCCATGATTCGTCATTACCAACAACTAGTATTAACATCTATTATAATCACAGTTGATACATATATATATATATGTATATATATATATATGTATATATATATATAAGAAATGGTTATTATTAATTAACCGCTTAATTGGCTTGGCATGATGATTATTAACCACTATCATTATCATCCCATATAAGTATCATTATCATCCCATTGATATAGTTGACATTATTCTCATCGATCATTAACCACTAATGATTTTGAACACTAGTAACAACTATCATTCACCATGGTTGATTGTTTATGTGTATGTATATATATATATCAGAACTGACTATTATTAACCACTTAAATGGTTTGGCAGGATGATTATTAACCACTATCATTATCATCCCATTTATCAATGGATTGGTTTAAGGGATTTTTTCCAGGCAAACCCCATATTTCATGGGAAAATCTATGATTTCCTGTACGTTGTCCATTATCATCCCATGATTATCCCATGTTCAACCCATGTATAGCACCCATTCCCAGGGGTCCCGCGAACCGCTCCCGCTTGGCTCCCAACTCCCAGCGGCCGGAAGAGGCTCACCTGCAGGGACTTTCCATCATATATATATATATGTGTGTGTGTAAAAGAAAAACAATATAATAAGGATAGATGTTATATATATATATACATATATTGTATATATCTATATAATTATATATACTGCACATATTCTTATGTGGTATGATAATATGTACGGATCTTATATATATATATACATGTGTGTATGGATGTGTCTGAAAGTATGGTATAACCATCAAATGGCAAGTTAATAGACGGCCACCCTGGCCTCAATGGCCCAGGCGTTCTGGTGACGCCCAAAAATAGCTGCTACACTAGATGGAGGTGTTTTTAACCATCCGATATGTGGTAATTCATGGGTTTTGATCCATCGCAATATGGCAATGTTTATTATCTCCTAGAAGACATCCCATGTTCATCTATGTTATATGATTTCTACAGAAGAATCATCCAAAAACATCTGTTCTTTATTAAATAACCCAGGGTCATACCATCTTATGAAAGAAGAATCAAAAAAGCTGGCGATATTTCAGTAATATACAGATTATACCGGCTATAAATATATATATATAGGTTATCACACGGGGATGCATACCCCCAAAGCACCTCTTGAGCGTGGTGTTCCCACACCTGAAGACGGGAACGTTTTGAGGACCGTGACATAGTTATTTTCTGAGCATCAGTTGCCTGGGTTTCATCCCCTTAACTTTTGAGAGTAACGATGATCATAATCCTGTATCTGGGTTCCTGAAGTTGATAGTTATAATAACGATGATCATAATCATTTTGAGAGTAACGATGAGACATGTAAAGTTCCTATCCCCTTAAGTTTTTTTCAAAGGGACCCACAGACCCAACCTATAAAAAAGTAGAGGGACTGGGTTTCAACCGATCATGATCCTCATTGGATGGCCACAGATAAAGGGTGTAAATCCCAAAAAAAGGGGACAAACCAACACCCCATTTCATACTATGTATAGCAAACGCTAGCTAAATGCATATATAATTATGTATAATATATATATATATGAGATTATATATGTATAATCTTAGTGAACCATGTTTTATATATCCCAGTATTGTATGTCCCATAAGATCAATGCCAAACTGCCGCGCCCCACCTGCGTTGGATTCAACGAGTTCTTCGTCCTCGCCAGCAACGGTGTGGCCGTTCGCCGCCTGCGTAGGACCCAAATGGAGAAAAAAGTGGGATTCGATCGACCAATTCGATTTTTTTTGATGTTGATATGATCAAATCCCTGCTTCTCTGGTGTTGACATGTTTTGACACCAAAGTAGCATATAATAGTGCGGAATCGTTGAAAGGCTGGATTTCGTCCCCCAATTCAAAAGGTGTAAAAACCTGATCTGGTCCCCCAAATAGAGAGCCATGTTTTCTGGATGTCTACAATGTTTACATTCCCACTTCTTGATTTGGGTATCAAAAACATGGTACAAGTACATTCATGCTTTTCTTTCCAGCGCACCTGATTTTGCCAAAGCAGAGTGTTTTTCAGTGTCTACGATCTCTAGTGGTCCATCCCAAGTAATTAGATTAGTTCACCCCAGTTTTTTCAGTGGAAGCCTACTGAACTGAAAAAAAAAACGTTTTCTGGTTGGTGGTGCAATAGCCATCTTGAAAAATATGAGTCAATGGGAAGGATGACATCCCATATATTAATTATGGAAAATAAAAGCCATGTTTGAAACCACCAATCAGTTTTTTACCTACGATTCGTGGCTTCGTTCACCACCAAAGTCCCATTTCTCGACCCGAAAATCCGCCTCCTTTCGGTGCAAGTCCCGCAGCGCCCGACGGAGCTGACGCTCGTGCAAGCGCGGCATGGCGCAGAGCGTCACCAACTCCTTGGACGCGGCCGGGGAGAACGTTGGGTCCATTATGGAGTAAACATAAACATGTTTGTGTGATATATTACCCATTATGATATATTAGCCATGATGTGTTATGTGATTTATCATATAAACCTCCATATCATATATCATTATGTTTATGTGATTTATCATATAAACCTCCATATCATATATCATTATGTTTATGTGATTGATCATATAAACGAATGGTCTATATGATTTCTTAGCCATTATGATAGCCATGATAGGTGATGTAGTTATGAAAATTATTAATTATGATAATTGGGTTATTAATGACTGGAGGTTTATGTAGAGCCATTGTGATAGCCATAATGATAGCCGTTGAACTGAGGTTTATAAACTATCTATGAATTGTGATATAATCGATAAATGATGGTTGACGGGCGGGCCCCACGATTCGGATCCGTGATTTATACTCCACAAGCCATATCTCATCCCATTGTCCATGAAATTTTCAGGGAAACTATTTACATGACCAACCACTTCATTTTATGGATTTAGGATGATTTATAAAGAAATTCTTAGGATATCCAAAACTCTTACCGATTTTTTTCTATTTTTTGGTGGCTAAATGGGGATGTTATATATTTTTGGAGTTTTTTCAGGATATGACCACCCCTGGTGATACTCTCTGGTGATACTCACAGCGAACTGGATTTAATCACCTGGATTTCATCACCATCATTCACTAGATCACCAAATTTTGACAAATTGTGCCATGCCTTCCATAGTTACGTCAAATCTTACCTTCGCTATACGTTCGTCTCACCGTCGATGAACCGGTGAGTTTTCACACAACCGAGTCACCGAGTGGCTTCGAGTGGCTTCTGGGGATGTTCATCGATAAGAAATTCATAGAAGTGACGATCATTTCACCAATGACAGTATCATAACCATCTATAACCATCATATGAATCATATGACCAATTTAAAATATCATGATGTGGTATATCCAAGAATTAAGCAGAATAAACCTCCATTTTTGAGGATGGTTCACTGTTGGGTTTTTGTCCACGCCAAGCTGCGCTGACGTCTTCCTCCGTGGCGCGGCGGATGATGCGGAAGTCGTCAAAGCCTTCGGCCTACTGGAGCTCAGGAGCGCGCTGGGCCGACGGCCATCGGACTTCGATGGGGACAAAATGGTGATCTAATGGGAATTCATAGTGGTTTCATGGGAATTCATGGTGATTTAATGGGAAAAATATGTTCTTTGAATGGTGATTGAATAGTATTGAATGGGATTCAACGGGGATTTATGGTGTTTTACCTCTGGTAAACAAACATAACTATGGAAAATCACTATTTTTGAACGCTAAATCAATCATAAATGGTCATGTTCAATAGCTATGTTAAATTACCCGAGGGTATGGTATATAACTTATATATATATATATGTGTCATTACAGTATATGTCATATAAGTTCACATTGCTATAGAATCTTATATGTGTTATATCAACTGGATAATATACCATATTCATTATTTTATATGAATGATGCTTCATTGGTTAAATCATATTAAATCATGTTAAATCCATTGTTCATTGATTCACTACATCCCCATGAATCATATCCCCATGATCCAATTTCCCCATTTTAGATGGTTAACCATTGATGTTTTTTTCGTATCACATAAGCGGTTCGCCCACTGGAGTTATCCCGTTTTTTTCCAGTGGACAACAAAAAAAACAGTGAAACTAACCACCGTTGGACAATTTCATCCCCGGATTGCGCGGAAAAACCCTAACTACTAATTGGGCTGGTTGGGGACCCTCAGAATAGGTATCTGAATCACTATTTGAATTGGTGGGAGCCCCACTTGAAAATAGGTGGATTGTTAATCCTCGCTTGACGCAGATTTCGTCTCCGTGTGTCTGCTCTGATCCAAACGAAAAAATTGACTATCCACAATAACAAAGCCTCCTCAAAATGTGGTTGGGATGATTGGGTCATATCGCAGACCCTGTGTGGGATGATTTACCCTCTGGTAATTTAACATAGCTATTGAAAATGACCATAGAAATAGTGGATTTTCCCATGAAAAATGGTCATTTTCAATAGCAAACTCTTAGTTTACCACCATTTATAGTGAGTTTTCCCATTAAAAATTGTGGTTTTCCATAGTTTTTTGTATGTTTACCAGGCCGGGTAAAATGACTCCCAGCCATGGTCGGTGACCGAAGAAGGCATCGCCAACAACGACGCCTGCAGCAGCCCGAAGTATCGCCCCAGGCCCAACTCCTCCAGCCACATCTGCACTTCCGAGCCGGCGGCCTCGCATCAGCCCGGTGGCAACGGAGGGAAAGATCTCAGGTGTTTAAAGGTTGATATCTGTGGATGATATGAAATATCCATGTGTATATATATATATATGTATATGTATATATATATATATATATATTAATGTATATGTATATATATATATTAATGTATATATATATATATATTAATATATATATATATATATTAATGTATATATATATATGTATTATATAGTATACAGTAGATTCAAGATTATTCATGAGTGATTTTGGTGAACAGGCTAATAGACCATGCACGACCAAAAGTGTTGACCCACTTGGAACAACTGCCGGTTAAATGTCTGCCATGTCTAGCGTGAATACGTTCACCTTCACAGTGTTTCAGTAGCAACCTTCGGAACTTTAGGTATGAATTCTGGTGAAAGATTCCGCCATCAAACTGCCTCAAGATCTCCGAAAAAACATTACACCAGCGTTTAAAGTACTTTGAAATCATCACCTAGCTATAGTTGGATTTTAGGTGTGAAAACTGTAAAGATACTGTAAATAACTCAAGCAAACCGCCCGATCGCATCATTGCCAAGCGACATCATTTTCCGCCATGTCGAAGATGGGTGGAGCCGCCATTTTTCAGCGGTTTTTTTGTGGGAAGAAGTGACCTACCAGCTACGTTGATGAGGTATGGTGAATAAGGTACTGAGAAGCTGCCAGGTGTTTGCTTTTTTTTTTTGCTCATCATTTGGACTCAAAATGCCAACTGGGATGGAAACTGAAAGAACCATCAAAAGTGTTGATTGTTGATGCAACTTCAGTAGAGATGGGTGCAGATTGATGTGGAAGTCACCAAAATGCCGCTCGATGAGTGCGCTAAATTCGGAGATCACAACGTTTGGATTCTCCATAATTTAGAGGCCTCTAATTCTTTAGGCACTTGATCTGTCGAATTCATGGTTTTGCGGATGGGTGCTGAGTGGGTGGCTGCTGAGTTTTCTGTCAATCCGCGCTTGTGATTTGGAATCCAAGATGTGGCATATCGTTTGACCTGTAGTCATATCATGTTTCCAAATATCAATCTCATCAATACGGGTCTATATAGCCACCACACTGTCTGATACCTCGAAACCTACGGACCTACGGACCTACGAAGCAGATATAGCCTATAATAGCATGTTGCATGCTACAATAATGAGACTCGCGCCGAAGATTCAACGGCTACCCTACGCAGGACCTAAAACCGTTTTGTCCTGCTGAGCCCACAATGCAGCGAAGTAGCGGCTGTTCGCAGTCTAAGAGACACCACTTGGGCTGTTGCAAAATGACTCATTTCCTCAATGTGCCTCTTCATCAAACACAAAGGAAAATTCCATAAAATTCCCCCATGTGTATCATCGGAAATAGCAAACCATCATGAAAACCCATCCATTTATGCCAATTTTTCCATCATTGCTTTGACCATGTTTGACCATTGATTTTCAACATCGAAAAGAGAGTTGAAAACCATCATGATTGTCCCCAAGGCATTCGTCGAACAGTCGCCATTGCTGTTCTTTTTGTCTCCCTTGGTGCAGTGGTTTAGATCCTGTATCATATATATATATATGTGATATAGATTGATATAGTAGTATACTTTAATATATGGATGACATATGGATAATGTATGGATGCATCATCATCATCATCATCATCATCATCATCAACACATCATGATCATCGTCATCGCCAATATTGGATTATCTGATAAGGAATGGATGATGGATAATCCAATGAGAATCTTGTCATCTTGTCATCTTGTCACCTTCCCCCATTGCTCAAAGGGAGAAACCTCACCAAAGGGAGAATGCGAGGTTTATCAGCACATGGAGATTATGCAAATGACCAACAAATATATATATATATATGTAAATGTAAATAACAGGTAGATATTTTCCAGCTGGATTTCAGAATTCACCAATGTTAGGTCGTTTTGAAAAATTATTGTTTCCCTGCAGAAAATTTTACCCAGATAGATATATATACATATATATATATATATGGGTATATATATATAATAAAATATCCTTTGGGGATTCCGCTTCCCAGCACTCCCAGAAAGCCTACGGCCATCTAGTCGCAGCCGGTCGCAGCCGCCGGTCTTGGCCGATCGGTCGCAGGTGCAGCGAGCTGCTGCTGGAGCTGAAACAGTGAAGCGTTCAGCAACCCGAAAATGGTGATTTTTCACGGTGATTTCATAGGATTTCATGGGATTCAATGGGATTTAATGGGATTCAATGGGATTTAATGGGATTCAATGGGATTTAATGGGATTCAATGGGATTTAATGGGATTCAATGGGATTGAATGGGATTTAGGGGTCATTAATGGTGATTTCTGATGACTTAATGGTGATTTCATGGCTATTTCACCATGAAAATTAGGGATTGAATGGTGATTGAATGGGAGCGAATAGGATTTGATGATTTACTTTGCTGAGCTGGGGGCCTTTATGATACGCAAATAACTATAGTATTCATGTGATGAAACTAAACCAACAAACATAACTGGGCGGGGCCCACATTGCAGGTTTGATCAACAAAAGATGGCGATTGTGCCCAGACCAATGCCAAAATCCACCCGACTGATGGTTGAGGATGGTTGAAGATTGTTGAAGATGGTTGAAGATGGTTGAAAGGATCAGATCTCCGGCTGAATCATGTCCAATTTCTGGATGTACCCGATGTACCCCGCAACCCGGTGAAGTGATGCCAAGATCAAAACGGCCCGAGAAACCGGGTCTTTGTTGCCCCTACTCGACCACATCAACGGACCTGTTTTGGTCAATTTTTGGTCGCCAGGTTCAGTGCGCCATGGTATCCACTTCGGAACCAAGGCGTCTTATTTTGTCCAGCGATTGAGGGGCAATAGAAACTGCCATGATATGCATGGAATCACAGCTGACTCAGGGTCTGATGCCCATCTCTTCCATGATCTTCAGAAAGGTCAAATTGATCTCGGGCTCCTCTTCCTGGCCATGAAATCCTTGAGATGATGATCAACGAATGGATGGCCGTCGGCTTTTCCCAGCAGAACTCAGAAGTTGCGATCATCTTGAGCCCAGCGAATGGTATCAAGCTCGTGAGGTTTTCACATGGTTTTACCCTTCAGTTGCAATCATTTTTATCATTATTACCATTAACGCTTTTCCAAAATTCATGAGACCTCAAAAAGATCGCAAACCACAAATTGATGATTCCAACAGACTCATCAGTTCTGAAAGATTTGGCCCACCCGGAAACGCCTCCCATGGCGCTCCCATGCGATTTGGCCGACCCTTACACCGGTCCTCTTCTCCTTCCACCATGGCTCCCATGGCGCAACAGTCCAAGCAGGTCTTTCCTTCTGAGTTCCTGGAGATTTGATGATGGGTGGCCACCATCAATGGAGGTTTAGTTCGCTGGGGGATTTCCTCCAGGAGATTTTTCGGAGTGGCTGCTTAAGAGATTCCAACCAAATTAGAGGAAAACTATGGGAAAATATGGGAAAATCCAACCACGCGATGAAAAAAAAACAACATCCCTGTACAACTACAGGATAGCTAAGTTGACTTATAGTTTGGTTAATCTTGGTTAATTAAGGTTTATGGGGGGCATATCACATCATATAACTATAACTATACTTGATGAGTGTATCAACTATAACTTATGACCGTAACTTTTCGAGGGCCTCACCTTCCAACACATCATCGACATCCGGCGAGTGGGCCATCCCCCAAGTGCCCAAAAACCCTGGTACCTAGCTATCTTAAAATAACTGGCGTTCATGGATGCCGATTCCCCACAAGTATTAGGTAGTTTTTTTTTATAACTTTTGACACATCCCCAAAAAAATCAGCCGAGTAATCCATACATCCCCCATTTCATGGTCCCCTGCATAAAACCTGGGGGCCCCATTGCCATCGTTGAATAAACACGTGACATCGGCCCATCGTGTCGCTGGGGCGTTGTTCTAACAACTAGCTGGATGAATCGCCTAAATATAGTCACAGAATGGTAGCGATTGCAAGTATCATGTTGAATAATTCATCCAATACCCTCTGGCAAACATACAAAAAACTATGGAAAGATCCACCATGTTTAATGAGTAAATCCACTATAAATGGCCATTTTCAATAGCCATGTTAGTTGACAAGAGGGTAATAGCAACATGACTACAATGCTTTGCAATCACAGATGTAAAATGCTCAAAGCAAGAAGTACCCCCCGGGGTATAAGTTCGTCTAGAACCTCACCAAACTATAGATATATCCACCGTACATCCAATCGTTGGCCTAGTTCCAAACCAACTTACCTACCCTTTGGAAAGGTATCATAAACAATCTCATAAAGATAGTGGTAAGGACAATAATGTCTTGTCTTATCTAATGATGGATATGATGGATACTACTACGGATACTACCCTTTTTTTATACATACAGTATTTGGTACTTCACGATTAATGGATATCCATCAATAGTGTGATGAACATTGCCCCCATCAATCATAGTGTTCATCATGTCCATTATGATCAACTACAATATCAATTGACACCATCCACATCTCCATTTGACTGTCACATCCCAGCATACCCATCATCCATCAACCATTAACCCCACAATATCCCTACCTACCATCAACCTTTCAACGTGGAAACGGTAAACCGCGATGGTCTAAACATGGGGATGGTCTAAACCATCTCTGGCAGAGCTTTGGATGTCCGGTAGCCCTTGAAACAACTTCGACGCTAATCCTCGAAGAAACAACTTCGATGACGCGAAAAACGAAAAAAACTTCAAAAATGGTTACAGTAAAACTTTTTTTATCTTCCTATGGAAATGTCATCAAACTGGCCATTTTCCTAGGAAAACTGGCCATTTTCCTATGAAAAAAACGGGAAAAAACTGCCCAACTTCTCCCAGTAAACTCGTCCTGGCCGAGACGTCGGCCTTGGCCTCCAGCAGCACTTGCAGCACCGGGCGCAGCTGCTCGGCCTGGCCGACGCACTTTACCAGATAGATTTGTGCTATTGATAGTATATCTATAGGTTAGATATCTATAGTATCTATAGTATTGATAGTATATCTATAGTATCTATATACTATAGGTTAGATATCTACTATAGATATACTATAGATATACTATCTATAGTATTTATATGTATTTATCTATGATAGATTGTAGAAATAAATAGTATATCTAGGCTAGAATCTTTATCTATAGTAGTATGGAAAAATGGGCTATAGTATTTATGCCATAGTGGCATATCTGTGCTATAGTATCTTAGTATATCTTAGTAGTATATCTATGCTAGAGAAATTATGCTATATATAGTATTTATAGCATCTATGCTATAGTGCTCTTTATGCTAATGTGTATAGCATCTAGAATCGTGGATCTCGATGTGTTGAACTACATGAACTACACAAAAATCATGGCATTCTAGGCCAGTTTTATGGTATCTGTCCATCAAGTGTTTGGCCGATAAAAAAAACACCGGCGGATGTCGGTTTTTCCCATGGATTTACCATGGATTTCCCATGGATTGTGAGAAGCTCCAATATTTTTAGCTGGTTGGTGGTTCAATAACCATCTTGAAAAATATGAGTTCGTCAATGGGAAGGATGACATCCCATATATGAAATGGAAAATAAAAGCCATGTTTGAAACCACCAACCAGTTAGTATAACCCCATATAATCAACCACAGGGGTCGTGAACATTACTCAAATGATGAAAGTTTCATAGCTGGGTGTGACGTATTTCCGAACATGGCCAAAATTTTGGGCCACTTAAAGCTACATCGAATCAATGGTTATTTCAGGATCCTAAAATAGGCCTAATTTTTTATGGAATCGCTACCTCCAATCAATCGGTTCCTAAAATGGCCATTGATCGAACCAAGATTGACCGGATACCTGGAGATCCACCGAGAAATTCACTGCACTCCCCAGAAAATTGATTATCGAAAGCTGTGGCCAAGGCGTAACAAACAAAGGATCTTTGGCCGAAAATAAAAGTAGCTTCGTAACCATTTACAAGACGTGAAATTGATTTCAAAGGGACTTTCCGAAAACGACGGAAAAAAAAAACAATGATATATAGAAAAGTGCGAATTTGAAATTCTGTTCCTCTCATGGTGGCCTAAAACATCCTTTGCGACTCTTTGAACCACATTTAGAACATACCCGGAGTTGCTGACACCTCAGATTTAGGTCCATCAGAAGTGCCAACGAGTTTTGAGTGTCACTTCCGATCCACCATTTCGGAAAAGAACAACCTTTCGAACACATCCCGTGCAGCCTCCCCCACCACAAGCACCATTTGGTTCAACCAGCACTGAGCCAGCGATTCACCGGGCTTGTTGCCGGCACTTAGCCAGCCATGCACCAGGCTTGTTGCCGAAATGTGCTGAAAATGTGATCGAAAATCAGACGTACGTCACTTGCGCCGTCACATCGTCACAGGGACCACTGACCTTGGATTTGCTTCAGGTTGACCATCAAAACTATATAGGTAAATGTTATCCCAGTAGATTGCCCAGTGGTCGATCAACAACCACCTAGGAAAACATGGTGAAAAATCACCCAACATTTGGGATTCCCTAGGTTTTGGGAACCCCTAAGAACTGATCTCCCCAGTTCCAAGGATTTCCAACGGGGATTCTTCGCTGCGAAATCACAACGGGACCTCCAGGGATGCGAAAAATCTTATCTGCCATTAGTGGACTCCCTAGTCACGGTGGATTGCTAGAAAAAAAGTCACGTAGAAAACTGGAAGCGGAAAACCTCCCTGCCCTGGGCTCAAAATTGTCCCAATCTCCAATAAAGATGGAGGTTTCGACACTAAATGGGATCAGAAGCGATCTGAAACCTCCAGAAAAATCCCTGGATTTTCTTCGTGTTTGACCTAAAAAATCGATGGAAGCCATGGATAAAAACCCTGCGAAGCTCCATCCGACTCTGGGGAGTTCCCACCTTTGTCTCGAGGGTATCCTTAAGGTATACAATGTGAGAACCAACAAAAATGAGATGATCACCAATCAGGACCGAACCAGGGTCCCATAGTTGGTCCCAATCTGGGAACAACATTTTTTTCGCTCCCAACTTCGCCGTGACGGGTGACTGGAGCACTTGCAGGCCTTACAAACATCGCCGCGCCATTTCGAGGAGTCGGCCACGAAGCACATCTGAACACGTAAGTGGCCCTCAAAAGTGGCACACGCCTTCCTGGGTGCCAGGCGGCTGCCGAAGGTCGGAAGATCTTGGGGAAGTTGGCATGGGAAAACCAGCGGAAAGTTGAAGGCACTTCAATGGGCGGCCACTGGGGTCATTTTTTGTTATGAGGATCTGAGAAGATCTTGCGTCGGGGAGAACATCCAGGGCGAGATCGGGATCAGTATTGAAACTTCACCAAAGTGTCAAAGCGACTTTTTTGTATGGTGAATCCATAATACTATGGAGATCTATACCATGATAATCCATAATATGCAATGATAATCCAGAATATACTTCATATGGTATTTCATGGTTTCATTTTTTATGGCTGATCTATACCCAATATTACAAAAAAAAAAAACATAATATACCCAATGTTGGTTGGTTCAATCAATCCCCACATATGTCACAAAAAACAATAAAAAAAAACTCTGTTGAAACCAAGCCAGCGTCATTATTCCGCTCGCCTCCACTAACGTTCCGGAGACAAACCTGACACAGGGTGTTTCGGGTGAAGCGTTCTTGTGATGAGAAACGCATGTTGAGAAAATTGTGATTCCCCTTCCGGCAATCAAACATGGTTTGCTGGAAAATCCATCATTTACTTCGATGATAGATGGCGATGGAGTTTGAGGTCTCTTTTTGGTTCCAAATTACACGAATGATCCAAGAATTGCCAATTTTTGGTTCTTGAAGTGTGATTCTAAGGCACAATGGTGAGATTCTTTGGATAGATTCTGACTTACAACCTAAAAAAAAAACATGTTCTCTGATGTTCTCTTGGAAAACAGAAGCTTAACAAACATGTTCAAGCTATAAAAATATCACAAAAAGTCAAGAATGTCAAAGGTCGCCAAGCTACAAGGGCATTTTGTGAAATGCCACCACTTGATCTGGCAGGTTTGCGAAGCGCGCCAGCCCCATGTGTCGGCTATCGCCGCGTTCACCACGCTCGCCTTTGTCGGCACGCTCCAGCGCGGTGCGGGCGTCGCTACACATGCGATGAAACAAATGACAGGAAAAGTCCGTGGCAAAAACAGCCGTCAAGGACTGGCCCGAAAGAGCAGCAAAGGGAGCGGAAGCAGCCTCAGTGTTGTCAAAATGACCATTTGTTTCAAGATTTTGAGAGTTCCGGTAGATTATGATGATGTGAAGGTGAATTAGATGTGTAGCCATATCTAAAGTGTCCCGAAATATCTACAATTTTCTACAAAATTCTACAAATCGAGCAAATTATCCAGAAAGTAGACGATCTATACATGTAAATTTATATTATATAACAATAACAATAATAATAATGACAATAATAGTAATAATAATATTAAACTAATAATGTACAATGTTGCGCCCCCAGTTATAAGTTGGTTTATAAACCCCATTAACTATAGTTACATAATGTTACATATATTCATATAGGTATCATGAACCATAGTGAAACGGGAGTTATGTTCACCAACTTCGCTATCGTAAACGGGGCCCCACATTGTAGGTTACAGTATAATGAAATCCATGGGTTTTTCTATCTACAAATCTACAAATCTACATATCTACAATCTAGTAAATTATCCATAGTAATTAATAGTGTACAGTTGTAAAATCAGCTATAAATCGGCTGAATCCCCTATTTTTGTTAGTTAAATCAGCATTTTCCTATGGTTTCCTATCGTTTCTGTGTGTAAATTGCCCTTGTCACGTTCCAAAGTTTGATCACGCCAAGGCACACTGATCACCTCCTTGTCAAGGTTGATTTCGAGGAATGCTTCCTGGAACGCCAAGGGCCCCATGGTGATGAAAAATTGTGATTTACTGAGATTTAATGGTGATTTGATGGAATTTAATGGAGATTTAATGGTGATTTGATGGAATTTAATGGAGATTTGCTGGTGATTTAACGGGATGTTATGGTGATTTAACGGGAGTTTATGGTGAGTCAATGGTGATTTACTGTTGATTTACTGGTGATTGAATGGAATTTGATGGAGATGTATATAATGGTGATTTAACGGGATTCTATGGTGATTCAATGGTGATTTCATGGAATTGAATAGGATTTCATGGCGAAATACGGGAATATAGCGGGAAAAAATCACCGTACACGTTTGATTGCTGGGTTTTGTCAAACTCTTTGAAACCACCCAGCTGGATCTTGGGAAAATCTCTGCTAGGCCAACGGCTTTTCCAAGGGTTTTTCCAGGGGGGTGCAAGATGGGGGACGGTATCATGTGCAGTTTGTTGATCCCCAAGCATCTTTAGTGGATAGTTCTTAGGGATAAATACTGCATAAATCTGCATCCATCTACCATGAAACACCTGGATGGTTCATAATCCCTCCAGTATTTCTAGAAAAAACAACTCAACCATCACACCCCCAGGCAGAATGGGGTGTAAGATTTGGGTAAATATCGAGGTAAAATGACCAGTTGACCCCAAAACTTTTTGATTTGATCACCAAAAACATGGCCCCGGGAGCAACTAAGACAAAGAGAGTCATAAGTTATCACTCATCACAAAATAATCAAATGGTGGTTTGCGAAGAATCCTGAAACATTCACCCAATTCAACATCACCAGGGTCTAAGCCATGGGAAATCCCATGGTAAAAGTAGTTTAAAAACCATATCTTCGCACAATCACCCATGGGGATGTTGAAAAACCTTAACCCCAAACGCCATCAAATTCCCATGATTTATCATTGTGTTCCCCATTGAAGTGGCCGTATGTTGGGTAATTTGCAAAGAAATATCCAGGTGAATCGTTGAATACTCGTCATTTCCTTCCGACTATTTGACAAACAGATACAAAAGCAAGGTCGACCCACATTTCTATGCACCGTGAAACTTGAGCCATCATCAATCGGTTCACCCCACAAACCATGACCGACTGTGAGTTCCTGGGTCCCCATCACCTAGATTTAAAATGCTCGACTCAACTCGCGAATTCATTGAATTCATTGAAATTCCAATTGATGTGGTAAACCCAATAGCAAACCATCACCAATCTCACTATAAATAGGTGGCAAAAGTTCATCCCCAAATGTTAGGTTTATATTGGGTTTACCACATCAAGTCAAAGTAATCACCACAAAAATTTGGTTGTTGCTGGTTCGGCCAGTTGGAGATGATTCCCCGAATCCTAACCATCATTCCAGTATCCAAATAAAATCACCGTTACTAAATCCCCCTGTATGCACCACGTTTGCGAAATAAAGATAAATCCCCAGTCCACTATGATCAATAAATTTCACGTTTTTCTTCATTCATCCAGATCAAATCACGAGTCTTGCGCCATGTATTACTTTCAGCAAATTCATACAGATAAATCTCCATTGTTCTTCCATTCTTCATGCTTAAACCGCCATTTTTCATGGTACTTCCTAGCATTTTCACCCTAAAGAATTGCACCCCACCCCAGCACCGTGCCGCTGGTGGTCCTTGTGGCTTAGCTTTACACGGTTCTCCACGATGCCGCTGTTCAGCGTGCGCTGCGAGTCCTCTGGCGCCCAGCTGTCGGCGGAGTGCTCCGAGATGGGAATCATGTCGTAGCCTCGGACGTCGACAGAGGGCGAATGCATATATATATATAATTATTTATTTATTTATTTAATTATTTATTTATGTATTCCTTTATTTGTTTTATGTATTTGTTTTTTTACTTATTGATTTTTGAATGTATTTATGTATTTATTTGTTTATATGCATGTATATGTAGACATATGTATATGTATATATATATATGTATATGTATATATATATGTATATTTATATATATGTGTAAATATATATATTGTGAACAATTTGATCCTTGTTCTGGATTATCCCTTTTGATGGTAGTACCGGTTATGCTGGTAGTGCAGGGCAACGTCACTGCATGGCGTTCGGAGAACGGTCTTTTTCCTCGCGCATGACTTGAGCCAAGTGATTGGCGGTCCATGCATAATTGTTTACATGCTCAGCATGTGCAATGGCTGTATTACCTGGTTCCCTTTCGCACCCCCCATGCCTACGTCATCTTCGAAACGTAGGCACGAGAGTGGGAACTTTGAATTAAATCCTTCTGCTGCTCGAATTACGCCTATGTACATAAAACATGCCATTCGGCTCCCCCTTCCCCACATACCCGACGGGAATAATGGTTCAGGGGTCGCCTACTCTTTGGCTGTCGATGCATCGGCGCTTCATCAAGCTGTACAACGCGAATTATTGCTAGCTAACATCTACTTTTCTACGTTGGCTAAGCATGCCACTCACCCGTCGGGAGAAATGGATCGCCTCGCTACCAAAGATTTACAATGCTAACTAACGAATTCACGTGCACAATGCAGAATTTCGTGCAGATTGGGAATATCACAAGTCTTGAACCTAAGCGAATTAGTCTAATGCCTCGCTCAGAGTCCACTCAGTTGGTCTTTTCCTGATCATCTGTTCATAAAGACGATAAACATCTTATAGTCCAGTGACCATTTTGACGGACAGAGGTAATTGTTTACTGCTCACGGCGGACTTTCTTCCATTGAGGTGTTGTTGGAGTTCTCTCCCATCCTGCCGCACGTTTCGGAGCAGCTTTCGGCGATGAAGGCTTCGCAGTTGGTGCCTTTGGTGGTTCATGGGATTTCGGCATAGCCTTAGCCTTTGGTGTGCTTGCCGATGAGGATGATGCTGAACCAGTACCTTCAGGTTTCTGTGAAGGTTGTGCTGAAGATTTGGCTTTCGCGTCTGCGGTGGCAAACTTGGAAGCTGCAGTATGTCCAACTGCTTTGAATACTTCACTCACCACTTCGTCACCAAGGGTTGGAGCCATCTTCGTTTTCATCTCGGTCTTTCCCCTCTGTGCCTCTGCCTCAGCCAGTTGAATAGCATAAGCCATCTTGCTGACGAAGTTTTGAGGTAAAGGAATGCCGCATTGTTGGGCGGCAAAGAGTAGTTCCACTCTCTGTTCCTTTTCTCTCAGACTCAGGTATACCGAGAAAGCTGGGAGTTCAATGCAGTTGGGGAAGCCGTGGCTCCCGGAGCGAAAGAAGGTGTATGACTCGTGCTCTGGAAAGGTTCCTTTGAGCAGTCGTCGAAGAAAATTGCTGATGGTCACTCGCATCTCCTGCTTCCCTTGGGCATCAGCCTGCATTCGGTTCATTGGCATGAGGAAACCTAATGACTCTGGAGTGTACCCGGCGCGTACCAGAAATTCCATCATCTTCTCATAGATCTCTAAAGTCTTGATGACAGGCATCATCATATTTCTTGGTCGTCCTGGGTACAACTTCTCTCCTTCTGACCATGAGTTCCTCTTCCCTTTCTCCTGAAAGAGTTCGTCCAACTCCAGCTCCGTCGGTCGCTTGAGGTTGCCATCCTGGTCTTCTCCTGTGTAAGGGCAGAAGTCGTCCAGGTCCAGCCGGACTCGCTTGGTTTCCGTCATCATCTCATAGTACTCCTCTGGGGTCAGAGTGACTCTCTGTTTATAGTAGAGCCTGAACATTGTGATGACCTTTGACATGACGGCATTGTCATACAAGTGAGCCGCGGCCTCGGAGACATCATTGTTGATAAGTCCGTCTTCTGGCATACCCTTGCTGCCGCTCTCAAGATTCTTAGTCCATGCTGGAAGTTTGGAAGAAGGTTCATCTTCAGGTTCGACGTCCATTTCATCGTCGTCTTCTTCAACGATTTCGTCGTCTTCCTGTTGAGCTTCCTCCTCCTGATCCATTTCCTCATCATCGCCTTCGTTGTAGTCGACCTCGTCAGGATTGAAACCATAGTCGTTGGATTCGGATACGTTTTCTTGTGCTTGATGGACCGTATCCTTGAACAACGATTCTTCTTGTCGACGAACTTCTTCATCGAGCTCTTTCTTCCTGGCCTCATCTTCATCGTCTTCAGGAGCTTGTAGCCGATATGGACGGATTCCACAACTTTCAAGTTCCGTCCAGCAAACTAGACACACTGCTAGCTTTGTCGGCGTCTCGTTGAGACAGTGAGGACAATGACGGCAACCTGATGTTTGCACCCTTTTGCGTTCGACTATGTAGTCAATCAGCTTGATGCGGGCCAGGTATTGCTCTTGTCCGCCAGGCTCGATGAGGTTGTTCTTGAATTGGTTGACGATGTTCATGGCATCCATGGCGGTTTCGTCATACGGTTGGTCTTCGGCGTCGATGCACTGACTTGCAACTCTCAAGATGGACTCCTTGGTGGCTACCGTTCTTGATTTGATAGTTCCAGACCGGACTACCTGGTCGTCGCCCGACGGGACGAACAACCGGAGCCATGTCTTATTGTTTTGGTCCTTGGGGTCCTGAATCCATCCTCCTTTGATTGCCGAGAACGGGATGATCTTTGGTGAAACGATCTGTCCCGAGTCAGTCAGTCGACCGCCATATTCCACCATCAAGGTCTCGGCCGGGACGAACAAGCAAATGTAGTCCCCCCTTCGCGTATCAACGCTCTTCGTGATGGTCCATGATCTGTGATCCCATGGCACATACGGGTTGAAGAACGTGAACATCCGATGACCTTCTCCAAGACCTCCTGGAATTAATCCCTGCCTCCAAATGCTTCGGAGGTTGGTCTTCTTGGTGATGTGAAAGCAGACCGGTAATGACATAATGGTGTTGGGTGCGATTGGATGTGAAAGCAACGAGGACAGCAATGAGACGTCGTCCCTTGAAGATCCTTCTTTGTGCCCCGTAGGAGCACGGACCGCCACAGGGTAGAGCAGTAGACCTTCATCAGGGATGTTCGTGTCCGCATCGACCTTGTTGTCAATGCACGTCAGGCTGTTGCGATTAATGTCCTTGTCGATCCCAAATGCCAAGACTTGTTCACGCACACGACGTCCGTACCGGGCACAGTGGAACATGATCTTGAAGAGCAATGTCATGCGGTAGTTCGCCTCACTGACATTCCATGCATTCTGATCATTCGCTCTTCCTTTTGGGGCAAGGAACACGTGTGGCCAGCGTGCATGCTCGTGCCTCCTTATGGACTCACATTTGAGCACCTCCTCGATAGGCACCCAGCCGGCGTCATCACAGGACAGACTCTGCTGCTCTGATACCTTCCCCACGTTGTGCCGCAGGATCCTGTTTAGTGAGGTACTCACCTTGTCCTCGTAGGTATTGAGCCGGTTACCAGTCTCGAAGCGGTAGTTGGCCGCATATTCTACACCGCCAAAGTAAGAGCAGTTGAAGAAATGGGCCCCCGTCGTAGGGATGATTTTCAAGAAACCATCTTGCGGCGCCTCGACTCTCTTGTAGAAGGGCTTCCTGATGTTGTTGTCAGAGTAGCTTGCCATGAAGTCTGGCACTGACCAAGTGTCGCCTCCTCCTCTGACGATAGCGTCTCGGATCACTTCGTTGAGGTCAACAACGTTCTGTGGTCCCAGCTTTGTAACATCACGTCCTTCTATGCAGAACCTACCATACTCATCGAGGTCACCAACTTCGGACATAGTCCTGATGCTGTCGTACCATTGGTGTTCACTAAACCTCGGTTTTGTAGGTTCATCAGTTTGCCCCGACCCTTCAGTAGCACCTGAACCGTCCTTCTTGTGCTCAGGAGGCTCCATATCGACGTCATCAGATGTGGGACTATCAGCCTCGAGCGACGCTCGGACGGCCTTTAGCACCTTTCTGACTTCATCCCTCTTCTCATGTTCACATTCAAGATGACCATGTTTGGTGCTACCACAATACAAGCACACATTGACATCCTCAGAGACGGTAAAGAGTTTTCCCAACGCATCCAAAAGTCGTTGTTTCCCGGAAATCTCTGAGTCCCTGACCACATCGGTGGGATCATTTGCTGGCTCATCAGCTTCCTCCTCCCCAGGGTGAGCCGACGACTCGTCACCTGGCTTGGCATCGGCATCAGCGCCCATGCTGGCGTCACCCCCTGTGATGTTGTTCTTCCTCCGATAATGAGAGAATACCTGATCCTTCTCCCACTCCGTGAGGCAGCAGAAATTGGCCAGTGAATCATATCCGGGGATTGCGTGGATGATCTTCATGACCCTTTCAGCTTCTGCGGTTTGCAGTGTGCAGTCGAAGGATCCGCGTCTCTTGTCATTGATGGTGCTTGAGGTTCTGGAGGTCGATGTGAATTGAGCCAATGCCTTTTCCAATCCGTTGAGATACTCTGCTGGATCAACACTGGCATTGAAAACATCCACAACTCCTTTGGCCATATTTGCCACATCCAAGACACCAAGCCAGAACTCGATGATATCTCCAGTTTTCTCGGCTGATGCACGGGAGAATCCAAAGATCTCGTTCCTCTCCTTCACCTCGGGAACGGCAACCTTTTCGAAGAAGTCTTTGTATGCGACATTTCCGCAATCCTTCGTGACTCTGTAGATCAAGAGCCACTTCTTCGCGACATCATCGAAAACTCTTTCGCGATAGATGCTGAATTGCTTGCCGCGTCCGTTCCGGAAAATTTCCAGAGCTTGCCTCTTCGAAATTCTGACTCCTCCCATGTGAGATAGAGATTTCATCAAATGCTCCCCATACGCCAACGATGCATTTGAAATCAACGAAGACGCAGTAAATGTGA